AACTAAAACAGCTGGACTAGTGCATCCTAAATGTAACATAAATTAATTATTTTAACATAACAGTCATTTCTGCAGTTTTTGGGGAGGTCACCTCCTAATGAATTACGGAAAATCTAACTGCTCATTTTAGATCAATACTTTTACTTTTAATACCTAAGTACAAAAAATATCAGATACTTTATGACTTTTACTCAAGTAATATTCCTAAAGGAGACTTTAACTTTTACCAAAGTATTTTTGGTAAAATACTTGTACTTTTACTCTAGTAATATTCCTAAAGGAGACTTTAACTTTTACCAAAGTAATTTTTTGGTAAGATACTTGTACTTTTACTCAAGTAGCACTTTGTGGTACTTTATACAACACTGGTCAGTACAGTCTGGTAGTCCTGAGGCCGAGGGTTCGAGCCCTACACTCTGCAGATAAACCTACAGAGGCGAGCAGCTGAAAGCAAAACATCAAATGTTTATTAAGAAACTTAACAGTTCAGGATCACACTTGTTGTTTATCACATATTGCACAATGACACAGGTTTCTGTGTCCCTTGTTAGTCTCAGAGCCCAGTTTGCTGTTGAAAACGAGCCCATCAACCAGCTTCATGGCAGCTCGAGCCCTGAAGACGCTGAACGAGAGATCAACTTTTTCTTCCCTAAACAACACACGCTGGCAGTGATCAAACCCGACGCCATGGAGGAGCACAAAGGTGCGTCCTGGTATTTCACTACAGCACAGAAATATTCGAGTTTATCTCTTTATGTTACAGTTTCTTAGTCATGTAATTTTACTCTCTCAACTCGAACAGACACGATTTTGGAGGCGATTCGAGGAAGAGGCTTCAGCGTAACGCAGCTGAAGGAGGCCGTGCTATCCAGAGAGATGGCTGAAGAGTTTTACAAAGAGCACAGAGAGAAGCCTTTCTTCAGGCAGCTRGTGGATTTTATGTGTCGGTCAGTTTGTCTCCACACACAATCACAGGAGCGGGACAAAGGGACGGCATCAGACCCGTCCACACAATCCACTGCCACGTTCAACTACACTTTAAAGTGTAACCTTTTATCTCAGTTTCATTTTGTGTTGAACCACACATCTCTGATTAACCCTTCTTTAGTATGTCAGACACAGTGGACAGTGACTTTGCAAAAATATATATATATATCCTTCTGGATATATATTTTTTTTGATCACATATATTGAATATAGTAATATGATGACATTGAGGAATGTTTGAGCAAATTTTAAGCACTTGGCAGAAGACAAGTTAGCCTAAAAAGAACAGCAATTGAGTTATTACGTCAGTGTCTTTTCAAAGCAACAAAACATTCTTTAGAAAATTGCAAAACTGTGAAGGAAAACAGATTTTTATCTGTAAAAAATATCTGTTTTCATAACTCAGCAACTATAGGTCACATTTGGTATTCCTATAAGTTCAAATTAATTTTAACTAACTGTACTTCTATACAACATACAACCTTTATATTATTAATCTAACAATGATATATAATCACATATTAATGAAAAATAATAAATAATACTTTTTACCTATATATTTTTGAAAATATAGTTTTTACAACTGCCTAATTGTATTTTAAAACAGTAAATTTCAACATTAAATGTGTAGAATAGGTCCTCTGTTGTAATATTTACTTCATGTTACACATTATTTTGTCTTAGCTAAACATCCTGTTACTGTTTTGGTTCAGAGAGCCCTGTATGATGCTTGTCCTGACCAAGGAGAATGCTGTAGAAGAGTGGAGGGCAATGATGGGTCCCGCTGACCCACAGAAAGCCAAGGAAACATCCCCTAACAGTCTGAGGGCCCGATTTGCTGCCGACATCCTCCACAACTCGGTTCACGGGTCCTCCAGCGAGCAGCACGCAGAGGAGAAGATCCGTTTGATCTTCGGCGACATCAGCATTGATCTCGCTGCAGCGGCGCTCACCGAGGCCGACAAAACATCTCAGGTGATCTGATGATGTGTGTGAATGTGATTTCTGTAGGTCATACTGAATAAAACACAGCACTGAAGCAGTTATGTAGCAGCCAATGACATAGGTTTTAATTAAATACTGTTACAGCGGGTAAAATAAGTATTGAACAAGTCAACATTTTTCTCAGTAAATATATTACTAGAGGTGCTAATGACATGAAAT